TGGATCAATTTTTTATAAGTTTGCTTGGAAATGACATTAGAGAATCTAAAAGAAGACTTGAAATCAGCACTGGAAGGCGTATTTTTCAATGCACGCCGTATATGTGGATTAACACATCTATCTTGCTATCCTGGGTCATTTTCACAAAAAAAAATCACAGAGATGAGCTGAAGGCTTTCAAAATCTCGGCATACTGAGTAATTTTAGATTGTGCAATAAAAGATTTTGAGTAAGCTTGTAAGTTCGAGGCTTTGTTTGAAACTGAAGAGTTAATAATCGAAGAACAAACTTTCAGCCTCATTTGAATCGTGATGAGCTTTTGTTCATATAGCATCTCGAAAGTGCCACCGACAGCTTCACTGTTCAAACATACGAAATCTCAGAAAAGTTTCGAGACCTGGGATTGAAATAAGTCTGAAGTTAAGAGACGAACTGCATATTGCATCTTTACCAAGCCTCCAAAATTCAATCTATGCATTTTGATTTCGTTGTGACTCGGGCAAACTATCCCTCTCATTATGGAAGACAAATGAATTTTTAATGAACTCCATGGTTTTTCAGAACTTGAAACTATAGATTTCATAGGACGACTAATTTCTATAGGGAAGTTAATTTTCTTACTATTACAAATCTAAATAATTTACTTTTAAACTCAATGAATGCGTCGTCTGATTTCTGTTACAAACCTGTTTCTCAGATCTTTCAAAGTTATTTTTAAACACAATTATAAAAATTTGTTCCTTAAAGGCAGCGTCCAGGCAGATCTGGACCTATGGGGCTTTTACGTGGAAAGTACTTTTGGGGCCATAACTAAGGCACTGCCCAAGCGGCAGCTCAGGTAGTGCTGTAATGGCTGAGATATTGCCCTCGAAACTGGACCCCGCGACCGTGTTTCGCATAAATTCATGGCGCAAAGCGTGGATCCTGGCGCGAAACTGCCATGAATCCATGCGAATACGTTCGCGGGGGCCAGTTTCGCGGGGAATATCTCAGCCATTAGAGCACTACCTGAGCTGCCGCTTGGGCAGTGCCTTAGTTAGGGCCCCAAAAGTACTTTCCACGTAAAAGCTCCATAGGTCCAGATCTGTCTGGACGCTGCCTTTAAGGATCTCCTTGCCAAATTTTCTTGGATCTTTGCCAAAATCTTCTTCGCAGCTCTCGCGCTCTTGATTATCTCCTGCGGATACGAGTGGCTGGTTTTGGTTCCTCCAGTACCGCCCCCCCTCTAAAAAAGTTTCCAACTTCAAGGCTGCCAGCAAGCGAAAAGGAGTTTGCAACTTGCATTCAACCATTACATCTCCGCGGGCTAGAGGCGCTCTGCAGCTCGGATTCGCCTCGATTAGATCGCAAAATTCGAGTTACTCGAAAACAAGGTGCGAAGACAAGCACTTGAAGCTGACACAGCTATAAAAATCAGGTATACTTTGTGCAAATCAAATCAAAAGAAAAGATTCGCGATTTTGCACCAGCTGGTATAGAAAATGAAGTAAACATGGCCGATTTTATAAGCTTTAGGCGTAATCCAGTGGAAAGTAAGTCCGCGACAGGTTGAATGCCACACAGCATTCATATGTTTCAAATCTTATTATCTTGTAAATAGCTTCTTTTGCGCGTGAAAAAGCACTTAATAAAGCTTAAATGGAGTCATAAAGAAATGTTGTTACCACTAGATGTAAGCCATATTTCCATTGGCTCTACGTTATATGGAAAGATTATAAATGGATCTAACCTTTCACGTAATCTATTTAGTCCTTCAAACATATAGAATTCCATTGCTTGCTTTATAATTCGATATCACATTTCGATGCTTTTTTTTATAATTGGTAGTGATTATTTGTTGATTCTTGGACTTTTTCTAAATATGGGTATAATCTTTTGAATATTATTGATGCTAAGGTGCGCTAAGATTCTTATTGTAAATAGCAAAACTTGCAAATTCAGCGATTGATAACTGCTATACAGTAGAACAAAACATGTCGAGAATAATCCATTGAACTCTCGTCTTGTTATATCTCTTGAGCTTTGGATTACAGCTTCATAGTACTACTCGACACTCCTATTGTTCTCAGAAGGAACGGACTGGTGAATCGAAAAAACCATTGCAGGAACGCCATCCTTGTTTTGAATATGCATTATCAGCGTATTACTAATGAAAGGTAATGAGAGAGTGTAAAGTTCTATTTAGTAAAGTGCTTTGAAGGTCATTCTAGCGCTTGTCAAATTTTCAATATGATACCAAATGCTATATTACTTTACTTCAAACTTGCGCTCATAACTTCTTTTAAAGAATCGCTTCACTATTATGGAAGGAGACGAGATCAGCATTTGAGTTGAATCATTTATCACCCATTCCCTTCCAGTTCGCATATGCGACTTGTTAAAACTTCTGCTTAGTAGCAGTAGTAACCAACAACTCGAGTTAACAATATAAGTTCTCGTTAGCGGACTGCAGTTTACAGTTTCATACCACTCCACGCTTCCTATGTAAAGTGTTGTAGAGACTACTCCATTTTGCATTGTATCGGACAAATGATTTTCCAATTACCCACAATTTTCTTTCTGCCTTAATATGGCATATCCATTTTTCTCCGCGTTCTGATGAGCTGAAGCAGACACGCTAGTATCTCGTTCAAGAATAATACTGCTTTAGGGTCGTTATGTCATTGTGCACAAATGAACCAGAAAGTCCCCATGCTTTTCCAAAACAATCCCCTAACACTCTTCATCAGCTGCCTGCTTTTATATGCACCGGTTTGTCTGCCGAAGCAGTGATATGATGTAAGGCAACGGTCGAAAGTAGGGCAGAACGAATGAGCGAGCGGAGCTAGAAGACTGGGTAAGAGTCGTCGACATACCGCCTGCTAATCTCAAGCATCAACTTGTTCGCAATCGTTTGCCCGTTTGGCACAAGGTGGTTGTATGGTTTCTGGTGTAGTGTGCCGTATTACATGCCAATCATGCAAATAATCGTATATAGGTGAAACCGGAAGCCCATTGTGCACACGCATAAAAGATTACTTACAAGGGAATGGTCAGTAATCGAAATGGCGAATTCAGACGAGTTGCGTACCATTAGATGCAGGATAAAACGCTGAGATCGAATCTGCATTCCATATTTGCTTATCACCCGTGTGGGCGACGTTATGAGCCGTTAAAGGCCGTTAATTTGCTAAGAAATCGTGCATGCAAATCGCAAATTTGGCAGCACAGAGCCATGTCGGCTACATATTGGGCCAAAACATGCAGCTAGATGACTTTGTATTTTCAAAGGCTGTCGGTGAGCCGAAAGTGCAGAAATGTTCTTAATTTCGCAGTTTATATGTACGATTTTTTCTCAATAAAACTGCCCACAACTTCGTCCACGAGAGCGATAAGCAGATATGGTATACAGATTCGAAATCAGCGTTGAATGCTGCATCGAGCGGTGGGCACCTTGCTTGGATTGGCCACTTCGACTTCCGACCATTACCTTGTTAGATGGGCTTAGAAGATCAAATCACACCACGCCATTGGGCATGCACCGCAGACAGCGCCACGAGGACGCAAATTTAAGCGTGAAAGTCACAATCTTAGCTTATGAGCCCGAAATCCTAAGCGCAAAACTTTAGAAGCGTTTTGGATCGCGACGAAAAGCCCGAAAATGAATAGAAAAGATGAGTGCTTGGCCATTACATAAGAACTGGCTCCTTACCAGAGCCCTTGTGGCTTCCCCGGTAACAGCAGGCCGAGACCAAGTTGCTAGATCTGAAAGAATGGTGGTCAGTCGTTAGGATAACAGCATTGAATTGTTGAAGGAGCAATGACCCGATCTTGTCATTTGTACTCTTTTGATTCGCTAACAGGTTGGACAATTTGCTTGACCGTGACGAAGTTGCTAACTGGACAGTTTACATGGTCACGACTTTTTCAGGAAGGCCGAAAAGGCGATATTTCCGAAACGTCGGTCAAATAAAGAGATATACCAATCTTGTGCAAACTGAACAGATCAGTGAAAGAGCGAATCCGGTTCTTACATACATTAAAATGCGCATATTTCCGGCAAAAGCAGCAAGAGTATCTGTTTCTCTTTCTTCAGTTCTATCTGTTCGAAATCAAAAGAACTTTTATGAAATTTTCAAAGATTCTACACTAGCAAATTGAACGTTATCTCACCAACGCTCTTCTATTCCATAGATAAAAAATGAGATTAAAAACCTGGAATGCAATGGAAAGACGGCGAGCCCAACTGGAAGAGTTATCAAAGAATTATTGAACAATAGTGCGCAAAGTATTTATAGTACAGCCAAAGTCTGTTAACTATAGACCAAAAGCTGAGAAACTGAAAATGTCATAGAAGAGGTACTGCTTCAAATCAAATAAGAAGATCATTGCATCCAATACCGAAAAATGCCTAGTATTCCTTTTACCTTTATATAAGATTCATGGAACTTTTAAGTGTTTTTCACTTTTATAATACCGCAGAATACTGCCTTTCGATGCTACTCATGCAGAAACCTCATTCCAAATCAATAAAAACTAAAATTAAAATGAAAAACCCAAAAATTTTCAGCGGTGGCCTGAAATAAAGAAGAAATAGAAGTCACTTTCGTAATAAAATTTATCATGCTTCTTGAATCAGTTGCTTTGATTATACTTACGATGTAGGCATGCGTGGATGAAAGAATACTGGCTGAGCCTAAACCAAGCTATAGGCAAAACGTCCTCTTGCATTGAGAACTTCTAGGTCATCTGTGAAAAGCAATGCACCAATGTAAGTTGACATGAATCGTGCTTGCGTTCCATAGCTATTCAAAAAGAAAGTAATGAGACTAGCCTTGTCTCAGTACCTGTTATCCGTAAGTCATTATTTCAAGAAAAAATATATAGTAGTAAAAAAGAGGGACATTGGATGAGACTATATAAACGAGTGCACGGTGAGCGCGATAAACGTACGGCATTTCACTCATCTCTTTCCTACCTTCCGCAATCATTGCTCCCGTGACAAGGACGGTTATTCCAGGATGACAACAGCAACTTTGATTTGCTGTATGTCACTTTTAGCACTGACAGCAGCATTCTTTCAATCACATTCCCACGAAAAGTCTGAAGAAGACGAACCAGAAGAATGGAAACATCACAAGCATCCCACGATGAAGTTCGAGAAAAAAGACAGTGAAGAAGAAGACAAAGTAAGGCAATTTGGTTTACTAGGGTAGCTTATTTCAGCGACTATGTCTTATCGCTCAGAAACTTGCACGTCACTAGTAAATTTAGCACAACAAAAAAGGCGGCTACTCAAGCTCATCTGCAGAGAAAAAAGACGGATTCGATATGGAAAAATACTTCAAAGATATGAAGAAAAAAAAGTATGACGCTGGAAAGTTTGGTAACAAAACTTCCTCATGTTTTTCCATCATCTTTACATATGAGGATATACTTTTATTCAAGGAGAACATGACAAGAAAAAAGGTGATAAATTCTTCGACAAAGACATGAAATTTGGCGACGAATCAAAGAAGTACGAAGCTGGGAAGAAGAGAAATCATGGTGGGTTTTTGGAGTTCACTCGAGCGGAATATATCTGTACTCTAAAAGTTTCCATGTTTCTCTTTTCTTGCGGCTTGCTATTTTGCCAGTAGAAAGCGGATAATGTCTTTGTGAGAAAACATTTGATTGTACAGATGAAGCGAATTAAAGTAGCTTCCAAAAACGTATGACTCATAGGAACTCACTTGTCAACCAGTAGTCAGTATTAACTCATTGCAGGTGCTAAAGGCATGAAAAAATACTCCTATTATGCTTCCGGGTCAGGTCCAAAAGGCAAATATAAGAAGGGCTTCTACGGATCAGAAGGTAGTTGCGCTTCTCTTGTCTCTCGCCAGGAAAATGCCTTCTTTTAGGTTACAAAGATATCAAGAAGAAAAAGAAATACGATTCTAGGAAGAAAGGAGAAGGCTACAAAAAAGGACACGATGAAAAAGGTCACAAATACAAAGGAGATAAGGAGAATTATAAAAAGGTAGAGCCCTTAGACGTGAATCTTAGGTTTGAAAATAACTGATTTCAGAAGAAGTCTGGGCATGAAAACAAAAAGGAGAAGTACAAGAAGAAGAAGCATAAGCGTACCAAATCAAAGAAGGGTAAAAAGGAGAAATACTCGAAATGGTCAGATTCTGCTCATCACAAAAAACACGGAAAGAAAGGAAAAGAAAAGGACTGATAAATATTTGATAGAGACGTGTGCCTTGTATTTTGTCTATTGTATTTGGCGTCGTATTGTTTTAAAAAATATTTTCTCGTTGTCAAGCTTCTCATGCTCTAGTCCATACAAGGTCACAGTGTAGTAAAGGCGCGTAAGCGTGACAATACTTCCTCTTTTACTAGACTTCCTCAGTCAAAATAAGAGAAATTCTGGCTAAGTTATCCCTATTCAAAGAGCTCTCTGCGGTGTTTTCTTAAGCATTTCCACTTGAATTCCGGCTGTGACTCCCGATTCCAGAAGCCACTCATGATTTTGTTTAAAGGCAGTGTCCGGGCAAAAACTCGATTTTGAGATTTTGTGCTTACCCGGGCCTATTCGCTACGCTGAATCCGAAAATGCACATTGGAGAGAGCGAAAACGGCGAAAAACGGCTCTAACACAGGAGGGAAATTAGCAGGTGGGAGGGGTCCTCCCCACTGTGAATTTACTCTCCCAGCTTCCGGAGCGATCTTCTCGCTTCCGGTTTCGAATCAGTCATTCGCACTTGGCCGGTGGAGATCTCAGGGTGCTGGAGGAATTAGGAAGATCGCTCCAGAAGCTGGGACTGCGAAATTCACAGTGGGGAGGACCCCGCCCACTTTCGATTTCCCTCCTGCGTTAGAGCCCTTTTTTGCTATTTTCGCGCTTTCCAGTGTGGATTTTCGGATTCAGCATGGCGAATAGGCCCGTATAAACACAAAATCTCAAAATCGACTTTTTGCCCGGACACTGCCTTTAAGTGCTTTATCCTGATGTGAACGGCTGCATTGTAATATGTTTGCTTTCAAGCTATAGGGTTTTTGACGGAATCGCTCCGAGAAATATATGAGTGAAACGTATTTGGAGGCACTCAAGTGAAACTATTTCTTGAATCATTAACTAACTTCTTCAAAAATTTGAAAATTATTCAAATCTCGATTGATCTCTCAAGAGAAATCTCAATGCGCGTGCTTCGCAAACTCACCGGCTCTCACGATCATGCAGAGCCCTATATTTGCCTCAATTTACAGCAAATATTAGTCACTTTTAGCAAATATTGCGTCAACTCCTTTAGGAGAATTAGTACGTGGAAGGTGTAAAGACGTATTTGTTTGAGATTTTTTTTACCAAGATAAAGAAAAAGGTAGCTCAATTGCAAAACGACTGACACAGCTAATCCAAGACTTAGCAGAAGAGTCGCAAATGGACATCCTTGAAAAACGACTCTGGCTTTGCCATTATCGTTTTACGATATCTCAACTGATCCACCAGCTGAATAGGCTGTTCGGCTGGAGCGCGCTTTCTTCCTCAAGAGAACAGGCGTCGTTGCTTTCAGATTCTAACAAGGAAAAAATATGCTAAACTTCAGGTATAGAATAGATTTATGTAAAAATTCTAAAAAGGTTCTGTGAAAGGGAAGTTTTGCCTATCATAGATGAGTCAGAGACGTTACTCTTTGGGACCTTCACTCTTCTAACATTGCAGCATGGCACTTCTGATGGCGGAAGAGAATCGAGGAAAAGGGGAGCTGGCCCGAGCGCGTGCAAAAATGGCTCGTTCACGGGTTTGTTTTTTGACAGGAGAGTGCTCTGCGACCGAACTTGGTCTGTTTTCATCTTTTGGGTATAAGCGCCTACCATATCAGACATCCCATATGTTCACTTTTGCCGACTTACTGCCTTCAACTTTAAACTTTGAAAGAATAAACGCTGAAAACACGTACTCTATTTAGGTATGACGAGTTATCATATGAGTCATTATCTATATATAAATAAAACCCAATCTCTGTAAATTTGTTCGTATGTAAGTATGTGTCTTATAGACTTCTTTGTTTGTGAACCAATGAGGCTGAAATTTGCTCCCCTATAAATGAGGCCAGGCGCAAAAGATAGAATACCTTTTGCGACGATTCACTGGGTCCTTCTATCAATTCATTGATTTGTTTACTAACATCTAGGGAAATGAAAGCTATACCATTCATTTTTCCAAGTTAAGTAGTAAGGGGCGGTAGAGATCATTTACATTTCGCGGTGAGGAGGATGCGGTGTCACGAAGCGAGCCGGTCAAGAAGCAAAAATTCACTACGGATACTACACGTGTGCTGGAACTGACTTGGAGCTGAAGCAGGAAAGGAAGAGAAAATATGATCTGAAGGAAGTGGAGGAATGGTAAGAAACATCTTGAAGCAGACGGGCCATTTTGGACCCTTGGCCCGGGCGGGACCGGGGACGGCAGCTAGTCAAAATAGACTTAAAACATGGACGGAATAATTGCGTCACTCAGTGTAGGTCGCCACAAAACTGTCTCCGCATGGCTTGACTTAGGAGCAGGGTCTGGGCAAAAATTTGATTTCTAAAAGATGCACTTACCGCGGGATACCCGCAACACGCAAAAACGGCGAAAACATGCGTTTTTCAAAGCCTTACAATTTAAAATTCGACGATCCCACCAAGGGCAGACGCAAAGTCTCTGCGGGACCCTACGATTATGACCTGTGGCCGCATGCGTACTCTGCCGCATAGCGCTAATTCGGACAGTTCGGAGGACCCTACCTAAAGCATAAGTTTCCCCATTCGTTTTTCTTGCTTTAGGTCGAGCGTCATGACGTCGCACTTGCGCGATGTTGTGTCTGAGGGGGACTACTATCGCATGGCACTGAAATCTCAAACCCTACCTTGCCCAGATACTGCCTTTAAGACTGTAATTTTTGTAGCCGTGTCTGTAGCTTGCCAGCAGTTACTTTTGTTTTCTCTAAAGTTGCGTTACTAGTTTTATCATACCTCTAGTTATCTGTGAAAATAGCAGGCATAATCGGAAATGTTTCAGCAGGGCTATAGATTCATTGTACCTGCTACACCTCCCTACACTTAAGGATGAATCCAGCCCACGACTGAGCGCGGAACTCTGGGAGTGCCCTTAATTTCGTCGTAACAGAAAGTAAAGGGTATCATATAGCACTATTTTAGCGTATAAGCCACACTCTGATAAAAACATGCTTCAGGTAAGTTATTACACGACTGACATGCTAATTTTGCATAAAACGTATTCTGATGTTTGACTAATACAGTACTGGCCAAAACTATAGATCCACCCTAAAAACTGCCTTAGCTCATCTGCTTCTCAACGAATTGATCTGAAATTTGGCACAGCTGTGTGTTCAAAAGACTACCATCAATAATGAGAATGGATCCCGTTTTTGTTTGATTAATCAGGAAAAAATTCAAAAATAAAAAAAACAGGCTTGAAGGCTGGCCAAAACTGTATAGATCCACCTAGAGCTGCTGTCCATCAAAAAATTCTCGGCTCCCAAGGTCTTTTCTGCATCTACATAGTGAAAAGTCAAAACGGTCGCTTTAGTCTAGCTGTGTCATACCTTTATAAGAAATGCTTACTCAGATAATCGCCGGGGTCAAGCGGTCCGCAAACTCGCGCTTTTCTGCAAGCGGTCAACAGAAGTTTGGGGCGTGGCCAAACCTTCAGGTGGCGGCACTTCCTTTTCGATCGCATATTCTGCCAGCGGGCACAATACAGTATTTTCTGTGAGCGCTCGGCAAATAATTTCTTTCAACAAGCGCTGGCCGAACAGGAGCGCTCGGACTCTTTTTAAGCAGTTTCGGGCATACGCACAGGTAAAACTCTGCGTGACAGAGGTGTCACCGTTGGTTCAATCACTCAAGTTTGAGGTACTTTCTCTCAGCGGAAAGTACCTGGGGGCTGCGCGGTCCTCCACAAAGAACCGTGCGGCCCTCGAAAATTTTGTATATTCTCGCGGAAAGTCCGCGAGAATGCAACCACTGCGCCGCAGCTAATCTATAAGGAAACCGCGATGTTCTTCAAGCATTCGTCTAAAACTAAAATTCCTCCAAATATCTGCAAGCGGACAGCAAGAAATCAGTGAACTATTTTTCCGGTGCCCGCCTGCCCATAAATCGCATGGCCGCCTGCCCCGGCGATTACAGTAGCTGCTTTCTTATCACTCAAAAATACTTTCAAGCGTATCTCGTTCCCGAGAATGTGTTTTTATAGGTGATCTCGCAGTTTTTCAACTGGTTTGGAAGCAATAGGGCTTCATCTGTGTTATAGATGCTTAGCGAATTGAGCACTAAGAAAAAAATTTCAGTTTTCGTATTCAAAGCGCATCCGCTTAAAATACGAAAACACATAGACCTATCAGCAAGCCTGCGCTCATTCATGCCTTCGAACTCTTTCTGCAATGTTCTCATGAGCGTGAAGTGGAGTAATGACATTGCCTGTATGTATGAGAGTTCGTATGCAGTGGTTGCAGATTTCTGCAAATCCTGACATATCGTCCCTTCCACACTTGCCGCTACTTCTGGCGTCGCGGACGTGCCACGTGTGACTAACACGTTGGCAACGTTGGCAGCAACACGTTGGCAACATGCAGCAGCATGTTGGGTGGCCAAACATGTTGTTGCCACGTTGCCGACATGTTAGCCACACGTGGCAAATCTGAGACGCAGACCAAGGGTAGCAGCAATTGTGGAGGGGACATACACACTGATTAAGAAATTCATCCTGCAAAAACTGATTTGCAACAAGCTTTGAAGTCATTTCTTGTTCTGACCATCATGTCCATGTGTGTTTATCGTGTGTATGTTGCCTTGTCAACACACATGTGTTCATGTGTTGACAAGGTAAAATACAATGCAGGGTGTTTTCACTATTTAGCAGCTAAATAGTATCAAAAAATCAGGAAAGTTACCACTTGGTAAGTAATTCAAAATTAGCTAACATTATCATTGAACCGCTAGACTTATGCTTTGAAAACGAAGTAAAATGCGACTTCGCGAACAGTCACAAGTGTAGTGTACAAACTTCTTTTTATGTAAATAGTGCTTCTACATTATTTTGAGCTTACAAAAAAAGCGCACAATTTTGAAGCTCAAATTTTGAGCGCAGGCTTGTTGTTAGGTCTTGCTGGGTGCGCTTTAAACATGAAAACTCAAATTTTTTCCAGTGCTCATTTCGCTAAGCATCTATAAGATAGATGAAGCCCTTTTGCTTCCAAACTACTGAAGTGACTGTTTTGACTTTTGACTATGCATATGCAGAAAGGAATTTGGAAGCCGAGAATTACCTTACACAAGGGAACCGTGTCGAATCGAAGTGGCCTTTCCAGATGAGACCCATGCTGCTTTGAAGAGCATTAATCGTTAATTCCATTTCTGCTTTCCAAATCTGCCAAGCGGCTCTGGATGCCAAGTTATGCTCGTTTTTCAGGCCAAAAAATTGAACGCAAAACTGAAGCAAAATCGCCCAAATTTGCTCAAATGGTCCAGTGTCAAGTATCAGAGCTGTTTATGCAATGAATACATTTCATTTATTATGCTATCACTTAACCTTGCTTTATCTGAGCGCTGGAAAGATTGTAACAATCAATTTTACCTAAATTTGCATTCATTTTTCGTTCCGAAGAACGGTCATAACTCGACGTCTAGAGGCGCTTGGCAGATTTGGGAGGCAGATTTGGAATCACCGCTTAATACTCTTCAAAGCAGTATGGGTCTCATCTGGAAAAGCCTCTTCGACTCGACACGGTTCCCTTGTTAGTGGACTGAAACTCTAGGTGATCTATAGTTTTGGGCAGCCTTCAAGCCTGCTTTTTTCAAAATTTTTAATTTTTTTCCTGAATAATCAAACGAAAGCTGGATCCATTCTCATTAATGATGGTAGTCTGTTAAATACACAGCTGTGCCAAACTTCAAATCAATTCGTTGAGAAGCAGATAAGCTACGGCAGTTTTCAGGGTGGATCTTTAGTTTTGTCCAGCACTGTATAAGGAGATGCTTGTTTACGGCGCAGAGACAAGATAACTTAAGGCTGCTGCATGACGAAGGCGCAGAGGTAGTATTAATTGAGCGGACGCGAACGCGGAGCGCACGTATCCTCACCGTTGTAAATCTTGCGCCTTATGCGCTCTGCGGCTAACCAAACCGCGATCGCGGTCAAAGGTATTGCGCCTTCGTCATGCAGCAGCCTTTACGTGATGTGTCATCATCTTCTCCTACTTTGGTCCTTCTCCAGGGCCCCACCAAGACGGCTTAGTCAGTTTGGATTTTGTATTTTTATCAGTTCATGCAGTAATGGCTTTTTCTATCGTGGTCATCTTCTTTTCCAAATATCTATCTATGATTTCCCTATCATAGACGTTTTCACCATCAAAAATCTATCCCTGCTTTTCCTATCATGGACTATTATATTTATCCGGCCAGAAATCCATCTTCGAGCAAGAAAACCGTTTACTATCGTCGCCTCTTCCCTTTAAAATGAATAGAAAGTTGTTTTGCTAGATACCGCGCTCTAATAGAACTCCAGTGCAAATGCCGCATACCTTGAAGTATTCATTCTTTCTCGACTTTTGTCTTTTGTTCCCTTTATTCTTTCCTATTCTTCAATCCCAAAGAACTTCCACCTATATTTTTTGCTTATTTTGCTCAAAATTTTTTTGATCAACATCCTAAGCAGGCTAAGAGCTCATGTCTAGATCCTGCATTTTTGTTTAAAAAAACATCGTTTGCTTCATCTGATCTGGAATCGAATATATGTACGAAGTTCCGTTTGACGCGCATCGTTTTCAAAAATGCTAGAAACTGACTCTTGCCGGGCCTTAATCCAGCCTCTCATGCATCTCATGATCTAAATTACTCAAAGCTTGTTGTTAGGCCTAAGGCATACCTCACGCGATTCGGCCGAATGGCGATTTGGCGATCTTGGCGATTTGCCAGATTTCTACAAATTTATCGTGCTCGCTTCTCGGATACATATTTGGGTAGCTTGTGTAAGTTGTTGCAAATGGAGCAAGTTCTGACCAAAGATAGCGCATTAACGACGAATTACGAAGAGTCGCTGTTGTGCCAAATCGCACAGCGACCGGAATCGCGCGAGGTATGCCTTAGGCCTTAGGTGAAGTCTGTTGCTACCACTTGATAGTGTCGAAATCTTCGTTGTTTATTCAAGTACAGGAAACAAACAAGGTTTCTCGGCAACTACTATTTTCATAATATTGAAATTTTTAAAAAGTTATGTCAATGTTCGTGTATGTTTTAAAAACAACAACATTGAGCCTGTTTTATTCAGTCTTATAGAGTATTGACGACATGATATCACCTTCCAAATCGTAGTGGGCGAGGTTTTTCGTGCCTGAAATGTTGACAATTTGAGAAAGAGATTAATATTAAAATTTGCATTTCATAACTTCCTCGTATGGTATGAGCACTCGAATGCAGGATAAATGATATATTTTATGCTCACTGCTCGAAGTCTCCTCATGTTAGAGGCCGCCTTGTTTACTATAATGGACCTTAATAACTACTAGGAGCTTTTTTTTACGCTATAGCTTTTGTGTTTGGAACAACGCCTTTTTCGCTAAAACGAAACACTTCAACAACAAGATTCGACAGTTTTCTTACAAATATACGAACTTTCAGCAGATGGACAGTTAAAGAGTTTTGTATTTATTAAGAAATGTTCATGGTTTGAAAATACAATCGTAGAGAGAAGGAGAAGCTGCATCGAATGCGCTTCAACGTCTTTGGGTGCTTTACCGCACTAGCTTTTGTAATTTCGGGAAAAAAGGATAAAACTTTCGGGAACATTATACAGGGTGTCCCAAAAAGATGTGCCTACTGTATGATTGTTAATGACTCTCTAGTAATGAAGTCTTTTGAGAAGCTTTAGGTGCCATTTTATGGAGCGGTCTTAACATAGATTCACAGTACGGTGCGAACAAAAATCAATCGTGTTACTGTAGGATTGCGGTAGGAACTTTGAGAAGGGTTCTGAGTAAATAAGGGTCATCTTTCATTTCTAAAATAGAACCAGAGAAGCTGAAAGTTCCTACACTAGTTAATCAAAGTCGCTGATTCCGAGCATGAAACTCGTACTTTATCAAACGCATTTTTCATAAGTTATGCCAGGTATACTACAACGACAAATTTCTGCTATTTGTCAAAAATTAGGCCATTTAAAAAACTCTGCGAAAGCACAAAAATTCGTGTACTAACATCAGCATGCATGAAAACCTTGTTAAATTATTTTTCATTTTTTTCGGAAATTTTTCTAAACAGGCATTTTCGCAGTGGCGGCACCATATGCTGCAAGTTCCTATCCTGCTCCTACAATGATGGAGATAGATCCTTGATTCACTCCATATTGTAAATCTGAACTGAAGTCAGTTCTAAAAACCTAACTCCAATACCTTAAGCTTCTCGAAAGACTTCATTACAAGAGGGTTATTGACAATCAAACAGTATGCACATCTTTTTGAGATACGCTGAATATTGTGTGGATATTTCAATTCCGTCGGTACGCCGACCGATGAAGAAATTTGACCCCGTACGTAAATATAACTTCAACTTGTGAGATTCATTTTCCATACTGAACATGATGAATTCTCATAAAACACAAGAGCGATCAAAACAGCTTCAAAAAGCAGTCAAGAGCTCCCGTTAGGTCTAAATGCTCTTCCAAAATCTGAAGCTTGATGCGCTTGCTTTGAAAATGAATGTCAAAAGCAAAAAAATGACTTTATATCAAGAACCATGAAACGTGTGCTGATCTCAAGTACTTGCTTAATTTCACATCGTGTCTTCCCTCGGTTCTCTCATATGACGTGAATGGCACAGGCGAAAAATTCGTATAGGGCATATTTCGCACTTAATTAGCTGGACACGTTGACAATGCCGCTTTTTTTTTCACGACCCGTCTGTCACCATGTCTCCATAGCAGCGCTGTCCAAGAAACGACATGAATTACATCTTAGAAAGAATTTCATAATTGCTACTATAAAAAAGCAGTGATTACTGTATTTTCATGCAATGGGCATAAATAACTGTTGTATTTATTTATTTATACAAACAGCCGATTGTAAGAGAAGATCTCATGCAACGAATGCACTTTAGACTTAAATAATCGACAGAAAAATCTGCTTTTGGTCAAAAATCCTCTTATTTCAAGTTACTGGTAATCCTCCGGTATATCGCAGCAAATGCGAGCGGCTAGTTTTCAATTTTTTTACGAAAATTCTTTTAAATTTTACAGTAGAAGATAGTCCAGGCTAAACTGTTATAACAATATGTTTATCAAATTATTTTACTACCAAGAGCACCTTCCCAGTTTGCAAGGCTGCTTGGATACTAGCCAAATTTTAAACCCACTCATCCATATCTAATTCAGTAACTGCTAACTACGTATGCATACTAACATCATCGTCAGCAAGTGGTCAACACTTTGCCATATTTGCTCGAGAAGCACTTAGTTAGGTGTGAAGTGGACAAAAGTGTCCCTATTCCTGGTAGGGAGTGTTTACATATAAAAAGACCCAAGGAGGGAAGAAGAAAGTGTGAATTGAAACCTCCAACCAAAAGTGACTCAAATTTGGAATGATTTGAGGAAAAGAAAAATATTCTCTTAAGAAGTTGGCAGTCCACCTAACAACAATATCCAGTTTATTTCATACCTTCAATATCTGAAATAAAGCATCCGTTCAAGAAATCCCTCAAAATAGTTCTATGATCCAAGCAAAATAAGCAGAATCATTCATGCTTCATATTTTCGTCTTCGCGCAATTAATTTTAATCACTAGCAGAGGTTTTACGTGGGAGTCATATGAAAAAAAACCAATTGCTTTTACTGCTTATGGACAGCTACCAGGAACCAAAAAAAAACAAGAGGAATCATCATTTGATGAAAAAACTACTAATACAGTTGTAAAAAAATCTAATTTTGGTTGAAATTGCCAGAAAGTTTCAAGATATTTTCCAGATATCATTTCAAAATTCAATGAAAATGAGATATTATTTCTAAAATAACAAGTATTTTGATTTTTCCCTGTAATATCATTTGATGTTGTCATTAGGAAAATTCCTGCGCAAACGCAAAAGGTCTTGGAGGTATGGGGAATTGAACCCCAGCCCTCTCCCATGCTAAGGGAGCGCTCTACCACTGAGCTATACCCCCACGTTCTCTCACACCCTTCGCCGCCTATACGATGCAGAGCAGCCCCCCTCATACGATGCTCAATGTTATTTGTCGAAGAAATCATGCGCTCGAATTAATCTAACTAAAAAAATAAAATAAAAACCTTGGACTGTCTTCTTCGTCAACGGCTCGAGACATCCTTTCCAAAACTTCATCAGTGTTGAAGAGCTGAACGATGACGGGAAAATGCACTAAATTAAGATGATATCATAGCTAAAAGGCTTAATGAATGAAATGAAGATAAATGTAATTGAGAAAATTGCCAGCCGTATCCTCCAGCTCGATTAAATTGGTGGAGCTATCATCTAAGGTATTTTTAGCATAATTAAAATAAAATTATCAAGACACTTTAGGTGATGTACATACCATGACGTCATTTCTTGAGAAGGAACTAAATAGCAAAGTCTTGAATTCTAATAAGTGAAGTGTCACTCACTAAAGGCTTAAGTTTTTTTTCGAACCCACCCACACGTCATGCATGACGTAAAATGTTGCAATACTGCCGTGAATTTCCGCTACCGTACCCAATGAGATTTCATGAAAAAAACATTGCAAAGATCAAACTTTACTAGGTTCATCCGAGTATGATACCTTTCCTTTCGCTCCCATGTTTCTTCGAAAAAAACGTAGGAGGTCCCCCATGGACAGAACAGAATTAAAACTTTTTTTCAGAAGTGTTACCTTCTTTCTTTAGTGCTGTACCCCAAAAAATTATTTGCATTCGCGAGAGTATTTGCTTGCCGCAAAGTTTTTATTTCTCTGTTTCGAAAACTCGTCATCATCTCTTGCCTTGAAATGTTCTAGTACAAAGAATTTCAAAAGATGGCACACTTGAAAATTCAAAGGCAAAAACAATTGGAGACAAAAGCTCAAGTTCTGCAATATGCTTTGTGAAACAGCTCGAAGGATTCCCATGAAAATATATACAGCATCAAGTTATACAGTAATCTTTCTGATATAAAAAACAAGTTCGGGCTGACCATGCATTTCCAAGGAAACTTCAAATGATTTTGAGCATGAGAATTGTAAAAAATAAATTTGTTGTTATTTTTGAAAGGCGCGAACATTTTAAAAAACGTTCAGCACAGAATTACTGCTTTGAAAAAAGTAAGTCTAGAGCTTCATCCGCCTTAAACCTATGCGAATAGTAGGTCGAATCTTACTGCACCCTTTTAAGCATTCCATAGTCAGCTTGAAATCGGCAGAGCTTGAGTTTTCTAATAGATCGCCTTGATATTATAACGAGCTTTTTGAAATGTATGCTTGATTTTCTTCTCACAACTCGTACTCACTCGTAAAAGAATAAGAAGTCACTAATTCTCAAAACCAGAAAGCAAAACTTGCAGAACAATCTATGACTTCAGCTTAACTGACATAAATACCTCTTATTTTGTGAACTTTTTGCGACATTCATCTTCATCATCTCCCTCCACTCTCTACTTGTTCCAAAAGTGTAAGCTACTGCAATTTTCCTTCATGACATTTGATTGATTATACGCTAACATTGAGTTGGGTGGCTGAAACCACAAATTGCTATCATGTCGTTTTTTGAACTTTCGTCAGCTTCATCAATGACTTTTTAGACTGATTTATGGGTCCAAGATCCAAGATATGTAGCAGTAGTGTTTTTATAGAACAGCGCACGTGAGCATTAGCCAACTACCACATTTGGAAATCTGCACAGCGTTTAAAGTTTCATAAGTGGATTTTTTTGACCTTATCAAACTATAGAAGTTTGATATCCATTAATACGAAGAAAGCTGTCAAGATAATCTTAGAAGAGTATGAAAAAATTTCAAAAAAATTGTTTGCCACACAACCGAAAACGGTCTACCGTCGTCAGAAAACTGCGTGCTGCTTGATAACTTTTCTGCTTGAATGTCTTTTGTCGACCTTCAAGCATTATTCTGTAGAGCTGGCTTGAACTTAGATTCACAGTATGTTTCATTACTGTAGGATTACGGTAACTTCGCGCAGAGTTTTTTTAGCGTTGAGAGTCGCATTTCTGCCTCAAAAAGGAAGCCAAACAAGCCAAAAACTTTCATAGGCTAATCAGAGTCGTTAATCTCAGATATGAGATTTGCATAGGTCTATTGCAGATCTATGCTTCCTTCATAAGCGCTATATCAAGAAAGGAATATCTGCTCTTCCAATAATCTTTGAAAATGTGTTTACACCTGTAAAAAGCTCAGAAATCCTGCAAACATTTAAGTAATGAGATCAGCATGCTTGAAAACCCTGATACACAAATTTTTTGAAATTTTTTCATCAAATCATCTAATTTACTGTGGCGCACTACGCTGAAAGTCCCTACCGTAATCCTGGTGTAACGAAGAAAGATTGGAGATTCGCTCCATACTGTAAATCTAATTTGAACCAACATAATTCTAAATATTTTCGGCAGAGCAACAATCAACCAGAAAGCTAGAGTGAAGTAAAACGGCTGGTAAACTTTATTATATTAGAAGCATATACAAATTTGTTGTTTCCATTCATAATGCCATCCTCAAATGTTTTGTTGAAGAAAAATCGCGTTTGTTGCAATCAATTTTCAATTAAGTTTTTTGAATCTTTGCGGTCTTACCACAAAATTGCTTTCTAATCTTTTCTGATTTGATATGATTCGAAATTGTTTCGAAAGGTGATCGCTGGAACGCCGTCAGTACCTCACTGCTATGTTCTTTCACTCAAGTAACTGAAGAATATGGCAGATTATAAGCGGTACTGTTTTGTTAGCTGGATGCTGAGTAGCAAGAAGGGGAGATAACATTCAGAATTATTCTAAATCCAAACATTTGAGTTAAAATTTTTAGCTATTTTACAAATAAATTGAGATTTTATAAAAAAAGCTCACAGCTTTTTGACCTTTCTCATAGGTATATCCCATAAAAATCAGATTTAATCAAAAAGACAACGACATCTTTCTTATTTTTGAGCACGTGAATCAAGGAAATGATATCTGCTTTTTACACTATGCATCGTAAAAAACCCAGACTTCAGATCTTTCGCGCATCGAAAGACATCAAAAATTAGATTCTCCCCGTGGGTCGTAATGGCCCCAATACCCAGAAGCCTCCAGCTGACCTTTCCATACCAAATCAACTGAATCTAGTGGTAGCAGTCAGCATCCGGTGCCATGTTTGTCAATTCCATTTTATGGGAGTGATCTCTGATCAAAGAAGTTTTGCGTAGGATGAACACAGCGATGACTTTGACTTTACATTGCCGTTATGAGCTATTAAGAAAATGTGGAGAACATTCTTTGACGGATCTGTCATATCCAACCGTTGAAAGAGAAGTTTGAGACATTTTTTAACGTTTTGGTATGCTTTCATAAGAGCGGGTTAGAGTCTTCTCTTTATTTGAACAAAGTTCTTTGATAATGTTCATATTCATTTTGGGATAAATCTCATAATGATTCTTTGGGCTCATTCCGTACATATATTTTGTCGATGAGTACCTGAATATATTAGGTTTTTACATAAGTTATGCTAGTGTTCCTCTGGAAAACTCTAGAAAATTCGGAAAAATCTCATATTTAGCATATATGGGGCAGGGATAAAGGGCTATTCGCTGGCGCCATTTATGCCCTCACCACAAGACTTGCAGTGAGTATAAAGGCAACTCTATAGAGATAATCCAACCGCCACTTTCTTCTTTATTTTCTGAAAAATCTCTTATTCTTCTTTTTCAACTTTTTAGATTTTTTCATGGACTTAGGAGCATGGTAGTAATCACTGAGCAGTTTGGAAGTTCAAACTCTTTAATAACCATAATTGGAAATTTGCCAAAAATAATTCGAAAAAAATTCGAAAATTTCGAAAATTTGATTTTTTTATGTGTAACATGTACAGGCTTGGAGATAAGGAAAAATTATATGACAAAGTTATGAGGATTTTTTCAGTTGAGCATAACAAAGCCTATGTGAAAACCTCATACATTCACCCCTCCTCCTTGGCCCTCTTCATCCCCCCCCTCTACTGCTGCAGGGTCGTCCATGGGAATGATTTTAAAAATTCTCTGGACTAATGTATCTAGAAAAAATTGCAAGATTCTTGAGAATCTTGGTACAGCAATATCGGCCGAAAACCTTGGGAGCGCCTTGCTTGTAAGGATATGGTAAAGATAACCCACTGCTGAATTTTGTCCCTGAAAAATTGTTTAGTGTAGGCTCCTGCAAAGAATGACATCTAGTTTCCCACCATATCTCGAAAGTGCAAATAACTCGTTGGCACTCAGAGTTCTTAGCGCTGGTGCTTCAGAAATCAACTCCACCCTCTCAAGGATTCCACTTCGTTATACTTTAAGAGATTCTCGCACGCAACGTTCGTCACTGTACCTTGTGACTTCACATTTTCCGTCCTAATTAACATATGAGGGGATGACGTGTCCGAGTGGCTCCCCAATTGGAAGGATATCCCATAGGTCATAGTTCTAGTTATGTAGCCACGCTCAACACAAGCCTGCGTCGCATATTGTGCAATGAAGCGAAACACTCGACGCTGTGCATGTATGATGTGTGAAGAAAAGGATGTAGTAGTGTCAAAACATATGCGACACCGGAGCAGAGCCCCACGTACTATGACGAATTCCACGAACTGCAGGATGTATCGTAAATGGACACAAATAAAAAACTTGCAAATTATTCTATTATGATTTCTTACGCATGAATGTCTGAAAGAGCACTCAAGTGAAATTCCTACGCCGGGCATATTTGATGCAAATTTGGACAGAAAATCTAGAGCCGTTATGACATGCTTTAAAGCTTTCCAGTACGGTCGGATTACGGTAATTGTACGGTAGGACAACAGTCAAATGTTTGTCCCGAACCAGCGAACAAGTATTTTCCTTGGAGCTGTAACCTGTTAAGGGTTAAAAGAAAATTTGAGGATTTTGTTCAATGACTGAAGTTCCAGTAAAGCTAGTAAATGTGACTCATGGCACCATATTTGCGCGAGAAAGTCATAAGGACCGGACATACTTCATGCGATTTCAGTTGCGACGCAACCTGGCAATTGCCAGAAGTCTTAAAATCCAACTCTAGCATACAGCACATGCATAGTGTGTATAACTTACATGGACCGATAGAATGCTTTTTTTTTCTTTACATCTAGAATGTGCTTACAGTGAGTTATGGACAGTTGAAATATTGCAAAATACATAAAGTATGCGCGGCCTTCAAGCAACAAAATCGTGACCATATTTCCCCTAATGAACTTTTTCCCTACTAGTATATTGCGAACATAATGAATTCGAAAGGAAATAAGGTGACTAAATTAAACATATTCTGACAAAAAAATCATCTGCAGTTATTACGTTGGAAAATAAGTCTTGCACCAAAAATTTCAGAAAATTCATTTAAAAATACTTAAAGCAGAGTTTCAATCTGTATGATATTTTTTCATTGCTTATATTTATTTGCTTATATAATATTTCATTGCTTTATGCTGTGTTATTTTACTGTGTAAGTTAGAGGTTTAATTTGAGACAATATCAAAATTCGTATTTCTCCATGGACATCCTATTAGCACAATTTATTTCAGTTAAAATGCTAGAATACAAAACAAAAATTACAAAGTTTAAAAATTTGTCGGGCACTTTGGCATTTTAGGGCTTAAAAGTGATTAAAACGCAGTTCGAGTGCTTACGTTCAATAACTTCTGTTACCGCGATATGACTTTCTATGACTCTTGATTTGAAAATATTTAGAAGGGCTACAATTTTCCCTTTCTGAATATATCACTTCAAACAGATTTGAATCAGGAGGATTATGAATTTTTGAGAAATTTTGCCGCAAGACTTATGTTTCAGCCTAATTCAGTATACTATAAGAAAAACTGTTTTTGGCGCCATGCTGGCTTTTTCAGATGAAATGTTGCTATAGATGTTTTTATGTTGTGCTTTTTCCTAAGAGTTTTTGTTTTGATGTTTTGAGCTCGGATAACTAAATCTTACAGAAAAATGTTGGAAAGAGTTCTTCTGATTTAGGATTCGAGCATTGCATATCTAACCTAGTTTTTTGCCTACCCTAACCAAAAAAGCATTCCAGATTTATTAATTTCTGCATTTTCTTTGCAAATAAGAAATATTCCATCGTATATGATAGCTGGAATGGACTATGAGCAAAATGAAATTCCAGTTTTTGTCAATCGGGTTCTGCAAAAGCTTAGAGCTAGATAGAGTGTATAGATGGGAGAGGGATGACGAGAGGTATGTAGTTAATTGCTATGAATTTTTTGCTAAAAATCAGAGCTCATTCGTTGGTTATAAGTATGCACTCTTTTGTCTTCCCAAAAAGATTTATTCGTGTATCTCCATAGTGAATACGCCACAATAGCGTAGAATGAGGTTACTTTATGTAGCATTGTTGGAAAAGGTCGTTCCGCTAAAATGACTACTAAAATGGTTCCTTCTACGATGCAAAAGACCTATTTAACATCGAAAAGGTAGAGGATCGAAAAAAAAGAAGGTTATCTGAGGTTTTCGGGATCAGAAACGTACTTTTTCGTAGGGATTCTTGGACAGAAAATTTTATTTCAAGAAATTGAAGTGTTAAATTAGCGCTTGCTAAAGTTCTGAAAATGCTGGATTGCTGGTCATGAAAACTGATAATGAATGAAAAGAGTGAAGATTGAAGAAAAAGCTGTCGCCAAGCACTAACCCTTCACCAAAGAGAATGGTATGAGAAATACGGAACTTCAACTTGTATACTGCGCCATGGGGGAGATAAATAACTCTCCAAATATGGTGAAATTGAATAATTCTTTAAAGTTTCGGCAAAGATTATAAATGTTGTATGAACTAACTATTGCAGTCAAAGACTTCCACTTGGTTCCACAACACAACTGATGAACCCAGAAAGAGATAGTACTTTTTAAAAGTGAAACGTTCAGATATAAGCCAAAGCTATATATTAGTGGAAGAAGTAGTTTTTCAAAGAACTCAATCTACGAAGTAATCGAATCTGAGATTTTTTGGCAATTTCCAAAAATTGTTTGAAAAGAAAGAGAAGTTTTTTTAGATTTTTGTTATTTTTCAGACAGCCATTAACGATATTAAGCCCGCTTTTATAAGGAACAAAGAACCTATATGGGTTAAAGTAAACAAAATTAAACAAGCTATAAGCGCTTTGCAAGTAAAGTTCACCCGAATAATTAAAACGAAAAAAATTGGCGCTATTTGATTAAACTGTTCTGGCTGTGAATCTAAAATAATGACAATACTCACATCTTGCAGAAACCACACTTAACATTAGAAGTACAGCCAACCACCGCATTTCATACCGGCCTGGGGAATATGAATGGAACGAGCGCAGGCCAGGGGCGTGGACATGCTCGAGTGGGTAGGGGCTGATGAGCAAGTCCTCGTTCGTTTCGAATTCGAAAATAGATCCTTGAAGCATTTGAACGAGGTCTTCGACAAAACTCAGAATAATGATTGAGCTGATGATCGGTAGAAGTTTCCTCTCCTTCCTGCATTCGAAAAGAAAAGCATAACGGTATGGATTATGACATAAAGTGCAAGATCATAGCTTACAATTCTCAAATATCAGCGCGAAAAGCATTAGAAGCGCCCTTCATACTTGCTCGTTATTCAAAACTCAACAGCAAGAATGTTATCCATTACAAGTGATCTAATGTCGTATCTGCCTTTCTGTAATCTATAAAATGTTTGTACGTATATAAGCAGTCTCGTAGTAAAAGCGCTGTTCATTTTCAACTCGCAGTCAATCGAGCAAGCTCTCAGCAGTCACACTGCTACATTGGTGGCACATAAGTGAGTGAACCTCTTTTTCCAAACTTTCTACTTCCACAAAGGAAGAATCAAATACGCAAGTGGAAGACGGTGTTTGTCGGAGAGGACGTAGATTAAAGTGAGTGACTACTTTTAGGCCTCCGAAGACGGCGTGTTGCCGAAACGTTAGGCAAATAAAGTATTTCATCACAAAAAACCTGTACGGCACAAGAAAGTTATTGTATCTATAGTTTGAGATGATTTCATTGTAACTGTGCGTTAGTATTTTCATTTCAAAAAAAATTCCATAACTCCCCTCCTAGGAGCTTGGTATCGGCGTTTTATGCTCTATAATATAGTGTACTTTTCAAACGGAAACGCCAGTTCAACCAAGTATCCTCCCTTGTGAGTGACGGAGATTGACGCAAATTGACAGTTCAAAGTTTCTGGAAGGTAAAACTTTGATAAAAAGACCTCTAAATGCAAGGACTTTTCCCCATTAACATGGGCGACCTGCATCGCCAGTTTGCGTGATTTCTGCATTTGCCCATTATCTTTCTATCTGCGGAAATTCGAATTAAAGGTCAGGAAAAGTATGCACAGCTGAGAGTCAAAATGTTTTATAATGCAACGTAAATTAGGCGCTTTCAATTTTGTTTCCTGATTGCGAGGCAAAATAAAAGAAAATATGTTGACACATGTTTTTGTAAGAATGGACAGACCCCTAAATCAGATAGCATTCATGTGTGTTGACTTCTAAGACCTGGTAGGTTACAAACATTCAAGAAAAATTCCAGTCTTTTCTGCTTTGTAGACTGAGCATCTCTCCAGAATGTTTTATAAGTTCCATATGCCGAATATCTTGTGATGTTCACAATTCGGGAAAAGCCGCAACAAATTGTTTTGTCGATCCAAGATATGTAGTTCAATCGCTTGCTTTGTAGATCAATGCTAAATTCAAACTTCCGTTTAATCTTGTTTTCGTTCAAAAAATGGATCGGTGAAATAATTGAGATTCCAATTAAATTTTACAAATCACAGAATAGCGTTCCTGCACTGTTTCTTGCGAATGCTTTTTGTTCAATCGCGCAATTAAGAAAAATCTGTCAAATCAGATTAGTAGTCCATTATACATAGCTTCTATATAAATATTGTAAGTCAAACTGAATTCCTAAAGAAACTGGGCTGAATGAAATGACTTTTTATCCGGTTGTCGTGGACAATCCGATTGTCAAACAGCTTCTCGCTTGCAGAAACTCGAATTAATAGCCAGAAAAAGCTTGCAAAGCTTCAAGAGTCTGAGATAAAACATTTTATACCAGCTAGTCTAATTCGTTTTCTGATTGCTGGGGAAGAGGAAAGGGTATTGAAATTTGACTTACAAAGGAAGGATACTTGGTGACCGTGGGGTTTTGCAGTGGTATCTATAACAGTAGATGCGCCATGAAGCGCTGATTCCAAATCTCACTGTCTGCTATGAATCAAGTTATGGACTTCTTCCAATATTAATTTTACGAGATCTAACCAGTGAGAATTGTCAGTATCCAGGTGTGATGCTAATGTGCCAGCTCCTAGCTACATGCTGTCTATAATTGCTTTTTTTATATGATTTAGGTCTATTGATTGATTTGATTATTAGGTTGATTGGTTTTATTGGTTTGATTTATTTATATATGATTTAGAGTTTTGTAGTTTCATGTTTGCCAAAAACCGTGAAACCTCGATTTCCAGCAAAAATGCTCAAATTTTTTCTTACCACATTATCAAAAGTTAAACGATTTGCACAGACTTGCAGCATACATCACAGTCTGCCAGTGGCGTACCCAGGATTTCGGCTCGGGGGGGGGGGGCGACAAAAATTTTTTTCTAATAAAGGTGCGTGGCGTCAGCCACGCACTCCGAAAATTTTTTAGGGGTGGTTTCAAAAATTTTCCCGGCCTTATAACCCCGAAAATCCAGAAAAAGGGGGCGACTTTTTTATAAGGCTAACTTGAATTTTTAAAAAATTTTAAAAAATATTTCAATTATTTACAAGTATGAACAAGTCATTTGCACAATTTTATAGCTCATGTAAGCAACTTTCAAAAATTTCGCGACCCGTTCTCGGGGACCCCCCCTCCGCCTCCCCCCCCCTCCCCCTCGGTACGCCACTGCAGTCTACATAATGCTAAAGAATGAGAATGCTATAGGATAAAATAAAGGATTCGGCGTCTTTTAATACCCTCTCTGGGCATGCGCCGAACGCACACTACTTCATAGTGGAAAAGGAAATTATATGCGTGCGAGCCTATTACAGTAACTTGCGGGCAGCAGTTCACCAAGTCAGTTCTTTTATCGTTCCAGATTACACTTGTACCAACTGACCGGTTCCGGAGGGTAGAGGGCTTGTTTGGCTCAGGGGCGGGGATCGAACCTGCGTCCGATATGGCGGCGCCTCATACCACTACGCCACTCGTCCCCTTGAGAATGCTATATGGAATAAAAAAAGTCATGGGAAAAGTGACAAAACTTATGTGCCAACCTAATACCTAATACTTGATAACAACTGTGACCCTTCATGGATATGTATGTTAAAATATTGCAAATTGTTAGTCTGATGGCAATCATAATTGACTTGAAGTGGCCGTTATCAGTGATTGCCCGCCTATTTAGCAAGAACGACATCACAAGTTGGTCTTGACCATGGTCCTGTTGTTTGGACCGCTCATTTACTCACTCAGCCAATTCTGCCACAACCGTTTTCCTTTGAAGGTGCATTTAACCATTTTGTCTGCAGTGTCGTGCACACCGAAATCGATGACATTGTTGATAACGCACCAACGCGCCGTAAGTTTAGTTCAGGCCTCAGCCGAGTTGCGATGATGGGGATTTAACTACTATAGACCGCTCTTTCGTTGACGATCGAGTGTCATGGTGTTAACGATCACACAAATAACTCAAAAGGACAATACGTGAACGGAAGATTAGTAGCCGGAATCACAGCACACCTCGTTGCGCAGCGCCTAGAATATTGAGATACTTTTTAGATTTTTGTTGTTCTCCATCTTAAGGTTATGGGCTATGTAAAAGTATATATATTTATGGAAGAGAAGCCATGCGCAAGTACTAAGCAATGGAAAAACACCCTGGTGATACTCAGGGCATACATTTGCGCTAAAAGCGCACATAACACTCTTTCGCACAACGCAGTCACAAAAAGCGCGAGAAACCTAGGCGAAAGTCTCGTAAAAAAGGCTTGGTCAACGTGTACGTAAGTGTGTATAAACATTTACATAGCTGTGTTGTACTAGTGAAAGTGAATGAAGTAAACGTGCAAACGCTCTAACAATTTTGCTGATTAACAAAGCTTCTTTGGTATTGTTTGACTGCCGTAAACGAAACCACAAGGGAGAATGGCGTAATGTGTGACGTAGTGTGTGACGTCGGCATGACCAAAGTTCGATCCTACCCCTGGATCAACCAAGCCTTCTATTTACCGGAGAAGGCGAGCTGGTATAAAAGTAATTTGGAAGGATAAATGCGCTGACTTGGCAGTAGCTTGCAAGTCATTAAAGGCTCGTACGCACACAGTTGCCTTTTCAGTTATAAAGTAGAAGTTTGGAGCATACCTGCAGTGCAGGTCAGTAATAAAGATCTTAAATTTTTCATTCTTTTGTCTCTATATGTATAAGACTCAAAAACTGTCCGTTTGAGGGTATGTGCGTTAGAGAAACGCCGCGGTTGAACTGATTTGGCCGAATCTTATACACAGATATGTTCGAGTTCTAAGCTACTTTTGCAAAAGTTCGTATGATTCTTCTATTTCTTTATCAATTTTTGCGCTGACTTTTGGAAAAAATGAAAGCTTGCAGCTTCTATCAAGTCATTTCATCACAGATATGTGAACAGGAACGGTAGTCTCATTTTTACTGCATGGTTAAAGGCAGTGGCTCGGCAAAACCAAACACCTCGAAATTTTGATACGGAAGGTTGCTTGCATATTATGAGAACTGAGCAAGTCCGAGTGCATGGTATGCCGCCGCTGCCTAGAAAAGTGCCCCTAAACCCGTACGCGCAAGCCATTCTTACACGCGCTAGGACGAGCTTGGGATTCTCCCCTCAGCGTCAGAGGAGGCATACCGCAATGTTGTAACCATGGGGGTCCCGCAACGACCATGCGTCTCTAATCAAACCATGGCCGGAACCGTTCCAGTCGTCCAGATTCCAAATGAGGGATCTTTGAAAATACTGCTTTTCGCCATTTCTGCGCTCTTCAAGGTGGATTTTCAGATTCTGCGCATCAAAATACCCTAGGTAAGCGGAAGAACTTTGGGTCGAGGATTTGCCGAGCCACTGCCTTTAAAGGCACCGTCCACCTTAAGTTGAGGGTGTTGAGCTTTTGGCAGCATATAATGTAGTGCCCCTATCAATCCAATTCCCAAGCCGCGGCGCAAAATGCCGCTTCGAAAGAGTGAAATCGCTTCGGAATAGCGAAGATGTACGAGGACCCCTATCCATGCCCGCCCTCCCCCATCCATGCCCGCCCATTTGTGCGCGTCCATCCAATCACCGTTCCGGAAAGCCGGCCTGTGGGTTCTCCGGAACGGGGATTTTCGGGGTTTTCAAGCATTCTCGACTTCATATTCATAATCAGGGGCATGAGAAGGCCCTGAAACGACAAAAACGTGGAAGATGAAAATCTGGGTGGACGGTGCCTTTAAAGGCAGTGGATCGGCAAAATCCAACAACCCAGGATTTTAATGCGGTAGGTTACTTATCGCCCAAGTATGAAAACAGTGCAATCCCGGTTGCACAGCACGCTTTCCCGCCGAGATAATTGCTCTCAAACTTTCACGCGCAGGCCAATCTTACACGCAAACGGACGAGTTGATAAGTTCCTTTTCACCATTGGAGGCTATCCGCCGCAATGCTGTAACCATTGGGTCCTGCAACGATTTAGCGTCATCAGCCTTGCTCCACTCAGGGCCCGGCACGCGTTGGTTTGGAGGTTTTTAGGAAACGAAGTCCCCCATGACTTCGCAAAAATTTAAAGTCCCTCTCGACGTGAAAATCACTAGGCAAACCCTTATTCAAACAAAATAGCAACAAAAAAGCGAAAAAAGAGCATTTTGAGGTATGTAATATAACAAAAAAGCAAAAAGAAAACATTTCGAGTCGATTAAAGGCTCTGCCATTGGGTATAGTACCATTTTGATGCTGGGAATGTTGAGAATCTCCTAGGCCAACCAAATCTGTAGCCTCAACATTCCTGCGATGCATTTTTCGCCACATATTTCAAAGGACACCGCAAGTGATTGGAGCGCGATATCTATCAACGCGTAGAATTATACTACTTTTGACTCAAAAAGAAGGGGAGAGGCAACGGTTTGATCCGCTCTCTTCACTATATGATAGATTTTTGACCGTTCTGATCGTCCAAATCAAAAAGGCGCAAAACTTATGTGAACTCTCCGATATTCATGCTCCGAACCAACCCAGTTGGTTTGGTAGTTGGTCTAGAAACCAACAAATTCGAGAACGGATATTAGGACACATAAGTTTTGGGAACTTTCTACATAACATAGTTTGGAGTAATATTGTATACTCATAACCCAAATTCGGAGCCATGTGAGTTTGTGCGCTGCAAACAAGCCGTATGTTTGTTTGAGTCTTGCATTTGAAATTCGCGCGCTTGCGAAAGAACTCGTTCAACTCGTGAAACCTGACATGTTCGTCGTGTTTTTTTGGCGCTTCCTCCAGGACCTCATAAAAACGATGTCCTCGTTGCTTCTAACTCCAAAAACGAAGTCCAGTTTGACCCCAAACCATCGGTGCCGGGCCTATCTCCACTCGTCCAATTCCAAATGGAAAGGCATTGAAAAACGCTCATTTTCGCCATTTTCAAGCTTTCAAAAGTGGATTTTCGGGATCACGGTATTAAATAACCCCAGGTAAGCGCAAATTTGACTACGCTGAGGTTTGCCGAGCCACTGCCTTTAACACATTGACGACAATATGACCCACATGGTGGGTCATGCAATGACCGTGGTTTTAGAAGTTCTATTACGCTTTATTTCTAGGAATTACTTCCGCGTTTCTTAGCTGCTCCTCAAAATCACTGTAGGGGTACTGCAGATGACGGCCTATTTGATTTCAGCTGAAAATACTCAACTTACTGTAAATGGGACTGTCCCACAAGGCAGACAGCTAAAAATGCACGCTGTCGTCAACGTGTTAAACAGTAGGTGGTGCTCTATGTGAGTCGCTTAGAGGCCCCTCTATTCCCAAAAGTGCTCTCACGGTGGTACTCCGTGCAGGAGAGGAAGAAAAAGGGAGGTGTGGGGTGGAGAAGCGCAAGTCGGCGGAGAGGTAAGTCCTACCATTTTGCTCGAGAGTGTGTGTCGTTGAGGCAACGAACACAGTGCTCGCGATTTCGTCGTCGCAATTTCATAGCCGGGGATTTGGATGGTGTGGACGATGGAAACGCGACGACGAATACATCTGTCGCGCGGGCTTGGGCATGCGCGCAACTTCATATCTTTGCATACACAGCATAGGTGCACGCCAGCTGAGCATGGTTCTCGTGCGATATTTTGCTTAGATCACTTTTAACAAGAGCCCTGCTCATGCCGATCGTGATGAAATCGAGTAAGAAAAACTTTCACCCTTTGCCTTCCAACAAATCCAATTTTCACGAGCTTACCAGTTTTTGAATAGCGGAACTCACCTGCGAATGTTGACCTCTGAAAGCCAAGCCATAATTGAGATACTATTTACTGAATTTTCAATGGAACATCCCAACGAACCAAAATTCAGAAAGATGACGTGAATTCTGGGCGCTTTAGCAAGGACCCAAATTCAACGTCTTTTTGAGAAGAAAATCAGGCACAGCAGCACTGTATAGCGAAACAAGCATGACATCTTGGTATGGGTGCACTAGTAACTACGAGATCTCCCGTATTCAAATAGCCACACGTAAGGATATGCAAAAAAGCAAAGTGACAAAGCGTATTTACTTTGCGAAAAGAGAGAACTTTAACACAGAAATAACTCAAACACTTCAAAAAATCATCTCGTTAGACAAGTCACTCGACAATTTATAGTTATGCAAAAGGCATCAAACTTGAAGTATCTTTGCGCAACTTATGCAAACGAGATTTTTTTTGTCAAACAAATCGAGCTGAAACAACAGCGCCTGTCTAGAAGTACCCTCGAGATATCCCCTGCACAACGATATTGATATTGCGCAGTCGCCTGTGCGCGATGCGGCATCGTTGGGTTTTGTCGAAATCGTTGCGATTATCGCTGGAGAACTATGCCCTAGCCAAAAAGGGTCTACGACCCAACGCGCCGGACGACTGCCACAACCGACGTAACAGACACGTGCAAATTCGTACAGTGTCGTTTCACAGAAATTGCAGAGTGACAGAATTGTGAACTATGGCCCAGGCTCGACGGTCCTGCTATCCAATTCCGTGTGAAAGCGGGTATGCCAGCTGGTCCCATATAATTAAGCCAAATTTTTCACTTGGAAGGCTCTACCACTCGATATATCTTCTACATAAAGCTATTTTTCAACTGCAAGATCTGAAGCAACGAAAAATTATTGGCATAATCTTCTTTATTTCAAGTTTTGATTTCACACTTTACACGAGATATGCACAATAAACATTCACATATGTTGTGCGGCAGCATTAGAGGAGAGAGGCTGTCATAAAACGAGCTTAAAGGGAGCGTCCACCCAGAATTTGGTCCCCCATGTTTTCGTCATTCTGGGGCCTTTCCGTGGCCCTGATTACAGTTCCGAACTTCAAACTCTCTGAAATTCACAAAAAACCCGATTCTTGGGGACCCAGTCTTGAGGGCGCGGACGAGTTTCGAATTGCTCGTCCCCGTCGGCAGGCCAGCGGGAAGGAGCTGCAAGTGCATGGGTGCAGTTGCATCGCAGTGTGCAGTGTGCAGCTTCTCTCACTACCTTGTCAATACGTGTCGGGAGGCACGTATTGACAAGGTATGAGCAGTCCCTGGTGGGCGGAGTCTGATATCAGACTCCGCCCAGCCAGGGACTTTCAGGCCCCTTATCTCCATTCCGAGACAACGTTAGAAGACCGGACCAACGCAGATGCCCCTTTTCTGGGGCCTACAATCAGGACCGACACTAATCGGAGGGGGTTAGGTTTAGCCTGGACACTGCCTTTAAGGTGAGGAAAATGACAATTCAAAGTATGCTACTGAAAGAATAGATCAAGCCCAATTTGCCCGCAACGCACAGAAGTGTTCGTCTGAAGTCTGTTTTGTGTGTATGTCTTCTCCTAAGACATTCTTCACATGAAACCTGAAAACACATTCAATTTTGTAATTTGAACATAAAAATTCAAAACTTACTCTTGCGAGCCCATTTGAGAAGGTGAAGACCAACAGTGCAACCTCAAATAAACTTTCTTTCTTATGGCAGGATGTTGCAAAATTACCGCAATTTGAATGAAAAATTCAAACATCAGTCGTATCTAAAAATCAGAACCGTTAACAGCAGATACCGCAGCCTTAGTCTTTCTAAAAATATAGCGCTGCAAATCCCACCAGTCTTGACACAGTAAATTTCAGAATATAGTGCTTGACATCGCATTGACTCGCTTCAAATTGTAAGTCGACAGAGAATATCAGCTTCCATAAAATATCCACCACAGTTAACATTGCATCAAGCACAATGACCTACAATAAACGCTTTAGTTCTGCGTCTCTTTACCACTTTTTTACTGAGATAAGCCGCAAGCCAAGCCAATTTAACAAGGCTCCGTCTTGTTAAATTCAATTCAAATAAGAAAGAATGATAACCTTAAATCGCTGCGCTCATTACCTTTTTATATCATGAGCGTTCGAAAAAAATTGTTTTATACCATTGCCGCAACCTATTGCAATTTGAACTAAACATCTTAATCAACTAGTGCTCGATATCACCGTCTGTAGAGTTTATTTCGTGGAATGCGTTATACCAAGATTGAATAAAGCAGTAGCACAAAAAACTTCAGATCCAAACATTAACATGGAAATTGTTGATGGAGCAGCAACCACTACTTACAATAAAACCTAGCCAAGAAAAGCACCTTGCAGTTTTGATTAATTAGAGAGTATCAGACTTTGGCAGGCTTTGGGTGGTTGCTTAAGACCTGATTACTGTATGTGCCCCACACGTCCGAGCAAAAATAGTCGAATGGAGCAGGAGAGGAGAAACGGGATGCGTGATTGCGTAAGTGGCTTTAAAAATCCAAACGCGGCACAAACTACCTCTGTTTCCTGCTGATGTTCTTTATTAGGTTTTCCATAACGAAACGTCTCACATTCAGAAAACCATTGGTGATTTTTGCAATTAAAACCCCTCCAGGTATGATTCCATATCTATGCATAGGCCGTTCCTCATTCAACTTGCATGCCTTTGCACTTCAGCAATATATTTATTGCTCGTCGACGGCTGAGTTTTATAGATGATAATCTTTATGAGAAGCTTTTACAGGTGTCCGTTTCTTCTTTAAGAAAAGGCCGGTTTTTGAAATTGCACGTTTATCGGGAACAATTTCCTTCCAAAAATTGTAGATCACGTGCTACGCAAGAGACTTGAAACGGGATCTCTTAGTATCAATAGCTTCACAGAATGGTAGTCTTGTCATTAGGTCTCCAATGCCTTGATTGTATAAATATCAGCAGTAGCTCTTCAGCAGTAAAAATCTGTGTTGTTATATTTCGTTGACAAAATCTAAAAATTGGTATTGGAATTCTTAGCGATTCTCAATCTTAGAATGGGAATGCGTCGTCCAGTTTCCGTTTCAGTAGGGCCTTAAGCAGACGCAAAATGGAAGCTTTTGACAATTTTTGAGACTTTGTCTTCTTTTAGCTGATTTTTGAAATTTTCTTCTTGCCTGCTTTTAAAAAACCTACACAAATATTCAAGATAAAGTGCTTCTAAATTCAGCCTCATCGTTCTTCTGTCAAGCAATGTCCTAATAGCCTTCCAAGCAATCCAGGTTTCTTTTATACAGAATAGCGCAGGCTTCCAATTTTTCTTTTTCGCAACACGCATGATCTTTCCTTCCAGCGTTCGACTTGAGTAGCTTTCCTCGAAAGGAACGGTAATCCACACCCGACAAAAGATCCGTACTACTGAGACTCTCAAAGAAGAGAAAGGACCACCTCCTAGTTGTAAGAGTGGGATCTTTGAGTCATTTCACTGAAAATTTAGACTACGGCTTGTCCTTTTTTCGCGAAGATGTAATCTATGTGAGTGGTGCCAATATAATGAGCAGCTTGGAAGGATTCACAAAACAGATTCAAGAAAACGCAAGCGCTGACGGAGAAAATGCCACGGAAAGTGAGCCAGTAATGGAAGTGATTCCATATCTTGAGAAAAAAAGAAAGGTGCACTGTCGTTATTGAGTCACACAACGATACTCGAGAAATTTTCAAAAATTAAAAATTGTTTCAAAATCTATAAGGTACTCAAAAATAGAGGCTTGTAGAGGTTTCCGGAACCTACAGAAACGCATTATCCTAGATTTTTCTAGATGTGCAGATCTCACCGGTATGACTAATTGCAGAGCAGTGATATTTTCCGACATCTGATAGCGATAACGAAGTTGACCGCTTCCAATTTCTCGTCTCGTGCGTACCCGATTCACCAGAAGTAAGATGATCAACGTCTAAATGGACTTGAAGAAGACCAGATGCCAACTTATAGATCTATTCAGAATCAGGTACCATAATGATAAGTGCCTGGTTTCCGACCATACAATACTCTTGGATATCTGATTCCTCATGCCATTCTTGAGAATATACGATAAGAATTGCAACAGTCATCTGGAATTCTCTGCTTAAAGTTACCATAATACCTACTCCATGAAGTTCTGAGTGATACTGGTTATAAAAAACTAAAATAGTCAATATACAGCATACAATTCAAGCAATATAGCCCCCCCCCCCCCACTCAAATCCTGATGCTTATGATGATGTTGCTTGCTAAACGAAGAAAGGACCTTTGCCTTGAAAATCAAAAAAAGCACTTTCTGTCAAGTCTTTTAGTTTTATCTGCACATGCATGTTTATACCACACCTTTCCAAAAGCTCGCGTTGATTGTTGTTCACCTACTTCATTTTGATGCATACAAAACAGCGGCAAGCTATGGGTATACTGATCAATTTACTTTATCTTTACAGCCCCTGTGTGAAGCAAGTATCTGTGACCCATTTTTGAGAAGACTGCCCAGCCTAATCGTTATAGATTAAGCTGATCTTTGATGTTTGTCCAGATGCAACGGACTGGATCAGACCTATACACAGTCATTCTTACACTGCAGACAAGTTGCAACTGTTTTAGAAAAAAAATTTTTTCTTAGATTTTTGGAAAATCTCGATCTCGTGGGAAATCAGGTTCAGCGATAACCCATCCATACTTCACTTCTATCAGTTCATTGGTACTTCACTAATGCATCAAGTGGAAAAAACATAGATGTTGCAACTTCGCTTGACGTTTGGTTAACTTTTACTTAGATATTTGATGATAATAAATTGTTAGTTCAAGGGCTTTCCAGTGTTTGATACTGTGGAACACAGGCCCGTAGTAAACCCCCAACAGGGCATCTCTCTTGAGGCGGGCCGGAGTTGATCTCATCGCGCCTCAGCACATTGCCAGGGGAGCGATTGATTTGGAGCAGATCACTTACTGGATGTTCGCGTTTTCAAAGTGTAAACGTTTACGACATTTGTGCATCAGTAGTCAAGTGGGTAAGAATAATGCGTTTCAAGCGGCAGGCCGTGGTTCGAGTGCGGCTAGCGTCGCCATTTTTGCTACTTGGCCTGGCGACCTTTGATAAGCTGTCGAAAAAATCGATGATAGCCGCTATCAGAGATTTCACCTAACAAACAACGAGATAAAACAAATACGCAATATTTTGGCATTCATACAAAGAAAAATTACACTTGGAGAAAAACGAGTAGAAAGGTAAATTCACCTTCTTATTATCTGAAGCGGTTCGCTATCAAAAACAAGCAACAACTGCAAGAATAATGCAAAAACTTTTTTTTCAAATTCGTCGCGCAATCAGCTGTTCATCGATCCTCACTCACTTAGGCGCCGGAAATTGTGCAGTTTTGGGAGTTTTGCACTGCAAAAGAACGTCAGCTGCAATGTTTCGTAAGTTACTAGGGAGCAACTTACGGAGGTTTTCTCTGTGCTCTCCTCTTTAGCACAGTATTTACCTTATGTCGTCGCCCGGCTCATCTCCGATAACTCGGTCGGAGCTGATCTCTCTGCCGGGCTTCATCTGAAGCTCACCTGTAGGGTGACCTTCCATACTTACACCACGGAAAATTGGGCAGCCCGCATCTCACCCGACAAAGCCTCATATGAGGGCCTCAGGGGAGATCATCTCCCGTGACCGAGCTTTACTACGGGCCACAGTTTTCAATGATTATTGGCCAAAGCAGGGAAAAGCTGGGAAATGAGCAGAAATTTTGCATCAACGGGTAACTACTTGCACTGCATCACGATGAAAGCATATGTATGCAAATTTTCAAAGAATATATAAAGTTAAAAGCCAAAACTTCAGCGAAAGTTAGCGCGTCGAGCGCCTTTAGAGATTTCATTTTTACTTTTATGACTAATTGGCTCTAACTTACACACAGCAGTTGCGCCACTATCATCAGTGACCATGGACGACTGTGCTCGTAACGTGCTGGATAGAGAGTGGCCACAAGTCTTTCAATAAGAATTGCAACAGCACAAGGAGATGCATATATGTAGAGTATCTCTGAATCACATCTTTATCCAGATGAAAGTTTAAAAATAACGATGAAAAGAAGAAACTAAGGTTTTACCGTACAGCCTCAAGACTGTCACATTTCCTTCGCCTAGCGATATGTGCAGTCGATACAACGTTAACCGTAAGAACGTGAAAAAATCAGAGACCGCATAGCTGAGCATGAAACAACCAAAGAATATGCTGTAAACTCTGCACTTTGTGAAAAATCAGAATGAGGAGAAAGATAAAAACAAGAAACTACCTGAAAAATGGATGAAAACAGTTTTTATGTTTGAAAATGCTATATGTGAGAATAAAGAAGACTGTAACATGAAAAGCGTATATAGCACAAATTACAGTAACGGGAGTCTCAACAGCCTCGCATGTTACATTCGTAAAATCCATGTTTCCCTACAATTCAGATAGTTACTTTCTAATGATTGATGGTACTAAAACATGAAAGGGGATAATGACGTTTGAAAGGAAAATATCAAATACATCATAGCTGCTATAAGTAAGGACAGTAGGAACACCTGCAAAGCAAATGGTCAGAAATTGTAGGCCTTCTATGAAAGAGATTAACATTAGGTTCCAGATTTGTGAGTGTATGTAAGTAAGCAAGTATATAGCATTAAAACGGATTCAGTCGATACACTTAGGTCTCACTGTTATGGCAAAGTTTTTGCGCAACTTTATATCTTACAAACTAAGCTTTACTATTTCCACTAATGATAACGGCTGCAGTCATGAGAGCATAACTTTCGATATCTACTCAGGACGCAAATGACACGAATAAACAAGGATTTTTTTTTGAAATTTGAGTCAACAAATTCTCATAGGCCCCTTCTTCCTTTCTAAACAGAAATCATGTTCGAAGAGACTTTGTCGTTACATAAGTCGAAATTTATAGAAATTTCCTAACGAGTAATGCCATAGGAAAACAAAATGATGCGATGGTCTTGTTCAGATAAATGTGCTTGTTCAAACTGAACTCTATGCTTTCATCTATCCAAACAAGTACTTTTGTGGCATTCGATATGGTACGCATTTCGGAATGGTCGTTCTAAAATTGAATCAAACCGTCTAAGGACCGATTCTCTGGAAAAGTAGTGTTTTCAAGACTTGCGAGTCCTTGTAGCGAGCTTCGCTGAGCTGAACAATGACAACAACACTGCTTGAACGAGTTGATTTTACACCAAGTAAAAACGGGTTCAATCTCTATAGCCACATCTTCTGCGGTTCTTCCATAGGAATCAAATACAGGTTCAATTTTCTAAAATGCATCTCTTGCGTAGTTTTCCAACAATTCCTTTTTTAGTCCTGAGTCGCCGCAGCTGTGCCAGTCTGTCTCCAGATTATTCATCGAAAGATATATATATCTAAGCTATGAAACTGTGTAAGTGACTTGTTTATAATTGACAATAATTTTTGATATTTTTGTAGGACCAAACATTGTGGACTACAACAGCCTCTCACCTTCAACCGAATAGCAGAGGGGAACAGTTATACGGAATTGTTATCGGAATTGTTATTGAATTGATATGTTGAGAGGCCAGGTGTTGTCATTAGGGAGGGCCACCGCTTGACTATAATAGAATGGCACTGATAGGAAAAAAACGGATTGGGCTGTACTATATGAGTAAATGTAATTGTATTGTATAACGCATGACGAAACGATTTGGTTTATCCTCACAGTGAAAGAGTTGAGCACGAGTGGCAGCATCAGCAAGAATGTCATAGCTGCGTTGAGCAATATATTGGAAACCGCAAGGACATTTGTCGTTTACATAAAAGCACATTCCATGACAAGAGGTTTAGAGCACTGTTTTTATAGGTCGTTTATGAAATCCTAACGACGGATTTGAGTGCAGTCTTTGCGCCCACAGGAGCAAAAAAACAATCATTTAAAAATACATCACCATAGCTCAGTCACTTCCAAAGTCTAGATATTGGCATTTGTAAGCAAAAAAACACTTCGAATAGAGACGAAAACCAAGAAAATGTGGTAGCCGGGAGGTGCGTGCGTGTCGCGCAAGGTCGCGCCATCGTCGCAAGTTTTCGAAACCTTTAAGCAAGCACAGAAACGAATCACATGGAGATGACATCCACGCAACATAATTCTTGATTGGAGAGAATAACACGGTCAGAAAGGCTTCGAAAGCCTATTGGATGTCACAAAGTGTGAGTCGTGAAAAACAAATGACAAGAGAAGGATGTTTGGTTGGAGTGGCTATTCGAGATGAAATTTTGTTACATCAGGTTGACGGATAATTTCTGTTATACTTTCTCTGTAGAATTGTTTAAAATTTCAGAAACTCTCGAGAATCTTCAGTCTTGCTCTGTGTGTAGGGCACGACAGGGCGTACACAACAGCATGACTGATGCCGCAAATGCAAAAACAGCTAACAAGTCTACGTTAACTTCGTAAACACATTCAAAATTCTCATTTTTTCTTTGATTTCTTTCTGCGTCCGATGATGGTGTTTCTCTCCTAAGATTTGTATTGAACTATATTTTCCCACAGTCTGCAGCACTTTGGCGCCGCTAGCAGTCAAAAACGAGGGGTGAAAAAATCAATCAAAAAATAGAATTCCGTCGAGAATTTTGCGTGCGGACATAATTGTGTCATCCCCTTATATACGCCAAAAAATTCGGACCATACTTTGCCCGATTACCCACATAGCACAGTCTCTCTCTCTCTTTCTCTCTCTCACACTCTCTCTTTAATCACTTGGAAGAATGCCAGCCCATTGACAAAAATGTCCATAAAACGTACTCCCACGATGAAGTTAGTTTTTGCGCACGGACCATGGATCTGACAGTACCGGTGGGTAGTTCTTTGCACCCCGTCAAGATGTCGTAGACGCTCCTCAAACATAAGAATTTTCAAAAGTTTTTTAGCTTTTTGAGAAATAAAAATCAAAATGTAACAGAAATTATCCGCCAACCTACAATTATATTTATTTGTTATGCAGAAGGCGTGCCATATCTAGAACAATCAATGTACAGTCGAGTAGATTTTCCGCTTAATATGGTGTGCTTGCACTGTAGGTGAAATGCTATGAAATTAATAATAATAGCCACGCTAATACTACTGGCATTTGGCGCGCGCAACTGACCGGCGTCACTGTCGAAGCTATTTTCAAATTTTACAGCATTTCACTTTCTGTGCAAGCACACTATATTAAGCGGAAAATCTACTTGTAAGTAAATACTTAGCACGTACAGCAACAGGCACAACAGTAAAAAAATCCAATAAATCATGTATTGACCAAGTATGAAATTATCAAGATGCATACCATCTTGGAGGGCATGAGGCGCTGATTCCATACTTATCTGCGGAGCTTTCCTTTGAGAGGAGGTGTGAGGGTAAACGCAAAAAATTGAAGGAGCCCTGGGTAAAACCAGTCGCCGAAAGTTTTTCAGTTTAGATAGGGTAGCGGTGAGCGAGGCTGTACTTAAACTAAGCGTATCTACTGCACTGAGTACTCTGACAATTGCCACTGCTGCGTCTGAGGTCTAGGGAGGATACGAGCGATTTCATCTAGATGGCGCATTCAATTTTTGGCTCTGATAGACGCTCTTCACTCCTCTTCCAGAAAAGCTGTGCAGATAAGGAAGGCATATCCAAATTCAGAGTTTTTTCCCTTCAAGATGGATGGATCTCATCTCGAAAGGCCACTTCGACCAAACATCCTTCTGTGAATAAGTCATCAATATCTTGAACCTTTAGTTCATATCGTTGTGGGACTTTGATGACATTCGATGTACGTCTAATAGTTCATTCTTGAGCTATAATCAACATCTCAGCTCAAGTCCGAATAAATAGTGGACTTTAAGATGACTCTCTCTCAAAACTTATAGTGAGCCATAATAACGCTGATCAGCGTTATCTCGAGATATAAGATGCCGCAAACTTGTTGTCTAAACCCATGGACCATGGACCTAAACTGAAACGTTTTGGATTGCTGCCAAAAACCCAAAATTCGTAAGAAGAAAGAGTGTGTCGGCATTACGCGGAACTTGCGCCGATCAACCCCTAGGCGGTTTCAAATAGGAAAGCATGCACATAGAATAAAGCTGAAAAACCTTCTTGTAAATAGGTGTCTGACTTCCGCTCTGCGTTATCTAACAACGGAAGCTTGTTTAGTCGAAGTGTCCTTTCGGAATGAGATGTATATCATATTTGAAGACATAAAACGGTGATTTCAAATCTGCCTTCCTTATCTGCAGAATGTTTATGAACGAAGAGTTGTTAGTTATAGTTATGAGAACTATAGTTAGACACTGTCGCACGACGTCGTGTTTATAAGTGCTTAAAATCTAAGCTCGTTACCTCAAGTAATTTCGAACTGTAGCAGCAACGCCGCAACAAGTGAAACAAGTGAAACTGCCAACAATATATGTGCTGCAATGGGCTAGGGAGTGTCACCAAATCACGACAGCTTGATGGTCCCAACGCTTGCAACAGAACATATAGCATTAAGTGCTAGGTGATATTATTTATCTCTCATCGAGGTGATCGAATGGGCTCACCTTTGACGAATGCATTCTGATAGAGCTGTTTACGCTCTATCCATACGTATGCAGTTTACCTCGAGAAAACCTCGCTTTCAGAAAATTGTGGGCCCAACATGTTTTCTAGTCTGAAAATCTGCGCCGCTTTTACGGATAATCTGTCTTTTTATACAAAATGACAAATAATTTCTGCAGGTTCAAGCGATCATTAAAAAGAGCTTGGAAAGCACTTTCGCATGGTATATCATATGCCCAGAGACTTCAAGGTACTGCAGTACAAATTCGGATGGCGTTCAGAAAATCTGTGTGTCTTTTTTGAAGCGCCGCAGGAAGGATCGCAAGATATGAGCTGCTGCCAGGATAACATGCGAAGATCACTTTACACAATGTATCTTTACTGTTGATTGTTTATTGTTTATCAGAAAAAATAATCGAAATTACAAATCTCGAAGTCTCCATTACTTCCCGATCACTCAAATGGCTCTCAAATAATGCAACCAATTGTGGTATATTTTTATGAAGTAATTTTGGAATAAAGTGCTCTTATAATTACCACTGCTCTTTTGAAGAGCTAGAAAAAATATTAAGGCTATTTTTTGTCCTACTTGCACATTTTTGCTCCAATAAGCGTTCAAGACTCCTCGTCCATAAACGTTCTGCCGATAAGGAAGGCAGATTTGGAATCAGCATTTCATTCAATATGGATACATCGAATCTAAAAGGCTACTTCGACTAAACATGCTTTCCTTCTAAGGTGAATATTATCTCTAATCTCACGGTGCTTTACGTTGGCTTTCTCTCAAAGAGTACCCTGAGAGTCTTTTCTTGACGTTAAAGGAGTGAATTGCTTATGGCTGTAACTTTCAGGCCCTGCGAAAGTGTCGTTT